CGATAGAAACGACACGAGTCGTTTGGCGGCAGTGTGTGCGTTCAATGGCGAAAAGTTTTTGTGTGATTGCAATAATTACGTACAAGTTAAAGTTACTTCTTGTCTTCTTCTTGTGTTGGGATATGTGTACGTCATGTACTATCTGTGCAATATCGTTGGTCTTTTTGCTTTTCATACCATTTCCCACCTCCTACCGCCCACCTCTTCATCTTTGTCGTTCTTTTTTCTGAACTTGGTTTTGCTGTATGATTTCGCAAAACTCTATTTCTGGTGTATACAATGATGATACATCTCGGATGAGGAAACACAATTTTCATTTCGTATCATGTGGTTATTCTGGAATATGGATTATCATGAGATACACAGCAAGTGAGAATGAGAAAATATAATAGAAAAACGACATTTAAACAACACATTTCTCTGTCTTTCCATAGTCTACATACGTCAAATTGCCATATTCCCATTGCCAGGCATCCAATCGAAATCGATGTTGAAAATGCCAGAATTCCTTTTATTAAATTGAATCTCACCAAGAATCACAAAAACACTAAACCCGAAATGTAAATAAATTTCGTAACAAAAACCATTGTGACTGGAATAAACATCTATGAATATATATATTTGACAGGTAGCCTTTCATCACATAAAAAACTACGACCATCCAACCGCACATAAGTTCTACACTCTCTCTCACTCTTTCTAATTCCAAGATCGAGTGCACTCTGTTTTGCCAGGTAATGTTGCTACTGTTATTGGTTTTGGCATATTAATGTGTGGGGTTGATGTTACTTCATGTATAGCTCGACATGAATGTGACATCGAAAATGGAGTTATCTTTCTCACTTATCAAAATCTACACAACTTGAAAAGTTTTCATTGCTGTTCTACTGACGCAAACAAGACACTTTAGAGTGTAAATGTAAAGAAAATCGTTCGTTCAAATTGTTTGCAAGTAATTTGCAACAACCCGATGCAATGTGTCATGAAAAGATGTGTTGAAATACGAAAAATACTGGTGTACTGCAGTAAATTTTTTTTAGTTTCTAAAACTTCGAAATAAGCCAAAAATATGCTTTCTCTATTTTCCGAGATAATTAAAATTGAATACGTGAAATGTGTATATATGATGTGAACTGCACGTAATTCTATTGAAATTTTGATGACTCCGACAACATGCCTAACAAAAAAGATTGAAAATACTCATTTAGACACGTTTAAAATCCCATCTGCGCACGGTTTCACCATATCGACCACCATCCAAAAGCGAAAAGGAAACTAACAAAAGCGAAGGAAGGCAAAATAAACGGAATGCGAAAGCGCCTCAATTCACGTTTGATAAGATAAGCAATAATCATAATTGGAAGAGATTTTACTCAACTTTTGACGTTCACCCCGACTGCCTTTGTCGAGTGCGCGCTTCGCGCCAATGTTACCAAAGCTCCCGATGCCAATGTTACCGTTGCTCACATTTTTTTTGTCTTTATTCAGGACGTAATACTTTACCTTTTCAAAGCCAAAAGATAAGGAAGATACATCATTTTATATTTCTTTAGAGGCAGTTTTTTTGTCCTCTTCCTATCTGTATATATACTCATTCTATGGCTCATTTGGTGAAATCTCGACTGAAGAAAACTTTTCCGCTTGAGAAAAACAGCGAACTATCTCGGTGGGCTTACAAAAAACGGAGACATCGCTGGGATATTGATTTTTCTTTTGGCATAAACGACGAAGAAAGAAAAACAAGTTGAAAAGACATCAACGATCATGATTCGGTTTTTATGAGCACACAGTATGGCTGATGTTCATACAAAAGAGAATCGTTCAACGATAGTTTAACGCTTTATTGGCTTTTCCGAACTTGTATAACAACAGGCTGTCGATCTTTCAAATAATGTGAATGCGAAACGATGAATAAATATAAATGTTCCGCTTGATTTTGTCCAACTCGGGAATTTTCATTTCCGCGAAGCGAGAAAAGCGATTAATATTCATTGACGTGATGAAAAAGTGTTTTTGACGTTCCAGAATCAAAGGGATAATATCCGTCAATTTCTCGTCAATTTTCCAATGTAAATTGAACCAATTGTATGGCATTGCAGAGAGAATTGATGATATCACATTGATTCGTGTCAGGTTTGCAGAGACTGTACATTGGAGAGAGTGGTGGATTGATGTTAAAATGTGCAATGCCAAAGTATAAATATTACTTAAGCCGAATTACTGTTGTGTATCTGAGAGAGAAGGAGACTCAATGTCAGTTAGCCGAAAAGGCTTATTCAATCAATAAAAGCTCAATTTTGATAAACTTCTGGCAAAAGCCAATTCACAGTGCATATATTCAATCATCATTATTATTATTCGATCATCCAAAAACTATATGTACATGATAGAATGAGAGAGCCTACAACACAAACTATAAATCTTAGTTCAAACTCATAAATATTAATCGTATTTGCACTAAAACTTATCTTTGCCTCAACGATTTATGATTAAATAATACCGATGACAGTGAAACGAATTTTCAGATCCCAACTAGGGCAACTCGCTACTGATCCGATATGTATGGGTGTGTGTGTGTGTTTGTGCTCCAATTATATTCATTCAATGAATTGTCGGTATAACGAACGGTTCTACATGAAGTGCTTATTCACACATACACACTCATCGAACCGAACTCACGATTCAAAGTTTTCGAAATGCCGATAACATCAATTGCGAATTAGTATTTGCATCAATTTCCATGCGAAAATCTCACTCCCACCTCGTTTTGCTCTTTCTATCTCTGTTTATCTTCTTTCTCACTTGCACCAATGCCAGAACATCGTTGTTCAATATACATAATATTTATGGAAATGAGAATTTTGCATAAAATATTTGGGTGTATGTAAGCAATCATTTCAACAGCAACAACGGAACCAACGCGCCACCATTGGCAAAGTCTTGATGGAGAGCATACACGAGAGAAAAAAACAAATATGCAATAAAATGGATAAGTTTCAAATAGGAATTGATGTCGATAATTCGATACATTTCCCGCGAATGAACATCCGTGCTCCTCCGCACATCAAGTAATAAGGCTTCGATAATATCCGTCCAAAGTATATCCGATAAAAAAATGCGATGTATGTGCGAAAAAATTGTTGTTCATTCACAGTGTTTTATCGTTAAAATATCGTTTCTAAGCCGTCTGCTATTTGTCGCTCCATTCACATTTCATCGATAATATTTTCGGGCCACTGGATTGGGACTCATTGCTGAAATTTCATTGCAGTCAAAATATTGCTTGTGTTTATGCCTGAAGTATTACATAAGCAGAAAGAATGAAAAAAAAGAACAACAAATAAACCCCCAAATAAATACAACTCGTTTTCATCTGGATTTTTTTTTTGCAAATGTAGGCGCTTGATTTCAACCAAATCAATTTTTGAAATCTCAAAATTGTTCTTTATTTTGTAAAGAGAAAGAGAGAGCTTACATATTCACTGTGTTTATCCTTCTCTATCTTTTCACGACAACAGCAACGGAGAACATTTGTTTACTAATGTGCCATTTCATTTTGAACTCTCTTTCAAACTTGTCTGAAATCTGTTTTTCGTTTTTACCCCCGCGAAAAAGAAAATCGAGAATAAACATTCAGGATTTTTTTTTGCTTTTATTGAACTTAGTGCTGTTGCCGTCCTTCGTCGTTTTGTTTTTAGGTAGCTGAATTTCCTCTTGACTGTTGTCGAGAGTGGATTTTTTCAGTGCGTGGATACGTAAATGCGCTGTGTGAGTGTGTACTTTCAGAGAGACAGAATGAGTATTTTCACTTCATTCACAATAAAATGACTTTTTTATTAACCCAATCTATCCAATGCAAAATGTGCGCGGGGCAATAGACAACCACTGAATCTCGTTGCTCTCTAACAACCCAGTTTTGGTTATGGGGGTTGTTGGAAGAAGAATACTCATTTAAAAACGTACAAGTATATACAGTGTTTTTTTTTCTCTTCCGAGTACACAAAACATTTTAAATGATACTCTTTTCTCATTGAATATTCGATTTGAAATTGTCTTTTGCAGAGTGACGACGCGTCGAACAATAAGCGAATTGAATACACAAAAATATGCTACGTACAGCCGTAATTGCTCTTTCCGAATTTCGAAGACAAAGAAAATTATTAACATTTACTTTGTCGATTGAGGGCGAAAAATACGCGAGAGCAAACGTCGTCGGTTGAAAATGTTCACGTAGACAGAGAGATGAGAGTGTATATTTTGAGTAAGTGCATTTTCACAAATAAACGGCACAAGCAGCGCGCAAGTTTTCCGAAATTAATTAAAATTTAATGGAGCTGCTTTGCCATTTTATGCTATTCACTCATCAAAATGACTTTCGTGAACAATGCGATGACGATAATGACACCGACGCTACCGACAAAAATTGTATTGCAAAATGTGTCTCTTGCCGACTGTTTTTAAATCAAATTAATTATTCAATTCGCTTTTGCTATTTTAACTCATTATATTAATGGCTGCTTTTTTTACTTGTGCTGATTAGATCTGGCGACAAGTTAGTTTTTCAGTAACATTTCTTGAGAACAAAAACAACCAAATATGTTTAAGCAAATTATCAAAAGCTGTATTTCTATGAATCGATTTTCAATAAATACACATAAAATAAGTTTTCTCTGTAGTCGTCGCCGATCCAATTTCTTTTTTCTATGCTTCAAAGTTGAAGAAGGTATTCTATTATAATTGACAAAATTTGTGTGTAGAAAAGCATTTGGAACTATATTTGAAAATAGTTTTAACAAGTAGAACAATCAAAAGCTCATTTGAATGCAGATCCTTGAATGATTTGTTGATATAGCTCAAAAAAATTTGCAGTGTGGAGCTTGTCTTTGTCGTCACACACAAACTTTTGTGGCAAACAAATTTTGTTTGGCAGTTTTACCAAGCTTAAGCAGAAATGGTTTGATATTTTATTAACATGCAAAATGTTCTAATATCTTTCTTACCATTTTAGCAGCGGAGTTTGTTGAATTGACATCCGGTTATTGCTTTCAAACTGTCGAATTGTTCGTTGATATCTTTTGTTGATTATTCTGCTCTTTTGTTAACACTCTAAACGAGACGAAGTGGCGAGGGAGAAAAATTATCAAAAAAATATTGGCCACGTGACAATGTCTGATGTGGACTGTTTATCGGAAAATTTAATCTCGTTTCTTTTCGAGCGATTGTCACAAATAACAAGATGTTCAAAAATCCAAAAATTGTATTTATAGAACTATGTTTGTCATGTTTTAATGCATATATTTTTTTAAAACGCGCACTTCTCTTGATACACTTTTTCAAGCACACTCATTTCAACTTTTTTTTATCATTCTCTTCAATTTATTTCAACTTTTTTTTTCTTCCAGCTGTACTTTGTTCAAACACGAAAAAAATACACGCACACTTTAACCGATAATACGTTGAATTTTTCTTCTCTCCCTCTCTTTATCTTGAGTAATTTTATTTCAGCAATCAAAAAGTAACGCGATAAAAGTAACAAGAAAATGACGCAAACAGAAAAAATATCATTCATAAAACTCGAAGTATAAATACACTCCACTTGAGATTTCGGTTTTGAGAAGAGAGGATACAGTCAGTATTTGCCTTTTCTCTTGCTATTCAAACACACCAAACCGACAAGAGCGAGAAAGTTATTTTGAGTTTGTTGCCGTTTTTTTTTTAACTTCTTCACTTCAATTTCATGTTATTTCGCATCAAATCTATTTTCATTAATATCCACAAATGGAATGTGTCTGAACTCCCATTCAATTTGCGATGATGATGTGTTTGCGATGATATTCGGCGCTGGGCCGTCTCTTGATGATACTTCTTACAAACGCCTTGGAATGTTTTTTCTTTCGTGTGTGTCGTTCTTGCTGGTATTTTCTTTTGTACTTACGTATACCCCGGTTCGACCCCGCGCACGAGTCTCTCCTCCTCAATGGCGTATTATTAATTTTTAATTGCAACCATAAATAAGGTAATTGAATGTATTTCTTGATAGAAGTTCATTAGCACTTCGAAAATGCTACTCTTTATCTAAATGGAAAGGGAAAAAGAGTCAAAGAGAAAAAGAAAATAATAATATTTATTGAAGGCGTTAAAGAGAACCCAAATGTTATATTATTATGAGTACACAGAAAATACACACACACACACACAAGTTCGTCTACGTAGGCACGCATTACGCAGGAAATAAACCATTCCAAATGAAATGCTATTACTGTTATTATTGTTGAAGCTTTTTTTCGTCATCGTTGTTTGTTTGTTTCGTGTTTTGTTATGTTGCGTTTTTCATTTGCTAGTTTAATGTTTTTGCTAATGTGTATGCTCATTGCGATCGCGACTATACGAAAGACAAAAAAAAACATATAAATGAGTAGAGAAAATATATGGCAATTCGAAACCACATCAAACATGAGTCGAACACAATTGTCAAGGGTAGGTGGCGAGTCTGTCACGCGTGCACCCAAAGCAATGAAATGTTAAAATGTTATTGTTTTGAAAAGTGCGTTTGCCGGTGTGCGAGTACCCACTCTCAAACGTTCACAAAACATTCGACATCAAGAGAACCGTTCGTCTCTTCTTGTTTTGCCTCTGCCTCTCCCCATAAAATTGTGGAAATTCCACGGGGAAATTGTTTTGTTTTTGTTTTTGTTCGGTTTCGCTTTCTATCAAAATATAAATATGGCAATGGCATCGCGGTCGTCACCGAAATGCCTGAAAATCATCGGATCTGCCAAAGCAATAAGGTGAAATAAGACCGTCGCACAATATGCTCGCACACAATATTTGATTACAAATAAAAAAAATGTACGAATTCTATGGTCTTTATTGGGGCATTCCATCATCGGTGCGTTTTTATGTTTTGTTGTTCGTTTGTTTAATTTTGGCTCGTTTTTCATTTCACTTCTGTTCCGTTCCCACTTTGGATTGTTTGTAACTCAATCAAGTAAGCGACATGAAACGAAAGTGAGTCTGCCGATTCGAAATAAATGAGGAGTTCTCAATTTAATTCTTTCAATGCATTTAGGATTCGTTAATGTCTTTAAATATAATAAATTAAATGTGAGTGAGGGCGAACGAGCATGCTGTCAAATATATTGTATTGGCATCCATTTCACTTGAAATGTCTGTGTGTGTATGGCTTTGATGGGCGCGAATTGAATGGCTGTTTGTGTGTGCACTGTGCATTGGAGCTGATATTTATTTAGACATTTATTGAAATGACTTTACGTTACACGCGAATTGTTGAAAACACACAACATAAACATAAATTTCACAGAATCAAACCGCAAGTCGAACTTCATTCAATTCAACTGACGACGACGGCTCTGTGAGTAGCACACACAGTCACACTTCATTCCCGAGTTTGTTAAGTGATATTCGCGGGTAAGAATGAATACGACATCAACTAAAATTGTGCGATTCTGTTTGAAATGGTTCAAAAACTCATTCGCCCAAGTGGAATTTCAACTGAAGAATAAACCGACATTTCGTCGACGTTGATTTGGATTGTGGATGGGGACCGTATTTGAAATTCACAACTTCAATTCTAATCCCATTTATTTGCCCGTCGAAATTACAAACGCCGTTTGCTCTTATCGCATACTTTTCGAATTGCCATGAAAATTAAAGTGTTGAGTGAATTGAGTCAGATGAGGGAACCGTCATTCGATTCTTTCGATTTTCCACTTTCATCCATGAAATAAACGTCTTTTTTGGTATTTCGGTGTGGCTGGAGTTGTCTTGAGAAATCTGAACCAAAATACCGACCATAGGCGCGCTCGTGTTCATTTTAACTACATAATTGAATTGTTTCAGAGTTGCTTTTTTAACATTTCAATCAGATCAGATCAGCCGGCATTGCCAAAGGCGAATCGAATGAACTCAAACATAAAAAAAACAACAAATACAGAAAAGGGAAGAGAGAAAAATGATCGATCGAATTGGCTTGTCCATTTTTCGGAATAGATATAAAAATTCGGCCGTCCGTCCATGGGTATATATTGGTATTTTTCGGTGGCGCGACGAAACAAACGCGCTTTGTGATATATAAGGCTAGACACAAAAATCCAATATGTTTTATTGCCACTTATTTTCCACACTCACTTACTACAGCTTGCTATCGCATACACAAAATCGATATAATTAAATTCTTTGGCTTTGGTTTTTTCGGTTAAACACAGCACGCTTTTCGATTTTTCTTTCGTTCCATATCACCAAATAATTTGAAATCCATGTATTATTGAAAAAAAAATTGGTTTTGTTTGGTGTGGCTACTTTAATTCAACCATGAACGGTTTGTTATGTGTTTTCTCTCTCGATAGTTCGACTAAAGCAACGACACACAGCAACGTACACGAACGAAATTGAAACGAAGAGCGAGAATTTTGTTTGCCACCAATGCATTATAACATATCTATTCTGAAACAACGATGAAAAAGAAGAAACACAAAAGAACACATTGCGAGAACCGTATCAATTGATTGAATCAAAGAAACGTATTAGAAGAAGAAGAGAATGAGAATATAAAAAAAAGCAAACACACAACAAACCGGAATTTTGAATGTCAATCAGCAGCAAACTAAAGCAACGAAGATAGAGTGTGTACAACACACAGCTGAATGTTAAGTCTTAGCATTTCAACGCTTCAGCTTTAGGTGAGCAAATTCTCGCCATGTTTTTAAAAAAAAAATTCTACTGCATAATTTTCATTTTACACTGAATTTCCTTTGATGTTCGTTTGCTATAACCATCAACGTCACTGAAACGAAATGTTTCAGCATATTGATTTTTAGTTCACTTCGTTTTCCGACACACATTATAAAGGACAATCGAGCCCATTTACTGTGAATAAGCATGTCCACTTACGGTATAATGATTTGAGAGGAAATATCACCCATAAAGCGTAAGAATAATAATATTTTTTCGTTTTCTTTTTCCATTCTTTTTTGTTCGATTTTTTTTTGTTCGTCTTCCATTTTTTTTTCGTTCATCATTTTATGTTATTGTCGGTCATTTTCCGGTATTTGTTTGTGTGCATGTGCTGTCATTTAATTTTATAGAGCTGGCTCGTCGAGCGCATATTACATATCGAGGCCCTAAGACATTTATTTTTATGTGCTTATTATGCCAGTTTTCCGGCTGAAAAATCATCACCGGATTTTCTTCGTTTCTTTCTCTGTTTCGCATAGAAACCGGATCCTCAACTCAAATTGCATATGCATAAGCTCACACGCATTCACATTAGCGAAAGAAAAGAGAAGAAAAAAATATAATATTGTCAGTTTTATCACACAAAGACATATTCCATAATAATCGAATTATTATTATAATTTTGTTTTCATTGTGTTGTTGTCATTTGTCGGCGACACAAGGGAAATGCAAACGGAGCACACTGGGCATGAACTTGATTGAACAGAAACGAATCGGATACGAAGGGACAACATAGTCCAAATGAAAAGCAAAATAGATGATGAAATGTAAGCAAAACGATTCGATTTTGATATTTGCACAATATTTACAAACACTGAAAGCACACATATCCAATATCATCGGGTGTAAATGCCAAAGACATGCCAAAGAAAAGAATAACACAACACGATTTCGTCCTGATCCCGACTCGGAAAAATGGACAATGTATACACAATTTCTAAATGCAACGAAGAAGAAATGTGAAATGGTTGATTTTTCCTTTTGTTTGTCATTTCCAATCTTGATATTGTTTATACTTCAGAGTACGGACTTGATTGATTTTTCCATTTTTTTATTTGTCACACCGATGTGCTCACTTTTTTCTCTTATTTTTTTCTATTGTCTAGATGTGTCCATTGTGTCGCTTGATTTTGGATGGCAGAGCGGTATTATGATTGTGAAATTGACGGCGAATATGACATGAACATCAAATTACTATTATTATCATTTTCAAAACGGATGAGTGAAAGACCATGTGTTTATGGTTTTGCTCCGAAGTTTATGCGTATGTGTTGGTTAAATCAATTGGTCCAACGGCAAACATAACAAGGACAGTTAAATTGAAAATTATCAAAAAACCCTCCTGGCTCACGTTTTCATTCGCACCCAACAAACAAAACCGAAATTTCTGTCGTTGATCCCTGTCGCCGCTTGTCCCTTTGGAATTATGGTTTATTCAATGTGCTCTGCTGCTATGGCGACAACAAAATTTAGAATCTCGAAGTTGATGTGCTTCTGTGAACAGTAACACAGTTGTGTTTTTTGGCACCAGAACGAATACAAGCACCGTATAGCAGGGATTATCACAGAGCTTGATTTCTTTGTGAAAACCAGCAAATTTCCAGTGTTTTTTTTATCTAGTTTTTGATGTGAATGTGTTTGAAAGGCTAAAATACGGTATGAGCATATATGTGGGCCAAAATATTCCGAGTTATTCACAATTTCATATTACGACATACTGTTTTTTATTCTTTCGCTGTTTTTAATTTGATTTTCGCTGGTTATACTTTGATTACGTCCAATTTTCGTGTTCCACTCTGTGTATGCATTTAAATCCATTTTTATACTTTTTTTACATTTATACATCACCATGTAAAATGCATAACATTGAAAAAAATCGTAAACCAAAAAAAGCATGAAAAAATATTGCATGCTAAAAATGAAAAAAACACAGAGGTGAAAAATGGTTAGTTTTCGATGCAGTGACATATCAATTAGAAAAAAAGAAAATAAATATTGCGTTATTTTCACATCTCCAAAAGGAGCCAAACATACATCACACTAGATTCACTCTAGCATATTTTTGTAAAATGCAACATAATTTCGAGGGAGGTTTAAAAAAAATCGCCAAAATCACGTCAACACGAGACAAAATCGTTTCAATTCAGCCAAACAACAATTTGAATATTTCCTGCGTATTCGTGGAAAATAAATTCAATTTTATCGTGTCTGTTTCATTGAACCTTTGCAAAACTCACTTTATTATTTGTTGTGCAATTAACATGAGCTCAACTGCCTTTTTGAATCAATATTTGATTATAATTTGTTTCACTTTCAATGCACTCGTTTTTTCCGTGCACATTTCTATGTTTTTTTTTTCTAATTGTCGTATCGTTCGGCAATTTTTCAAATTCACTTTATTGGAATAAATTCACAAATATTCAATCACTTCTCACTTCAATTCAAAACGTTTTTTCTTCTCTTTAGTTTTTTTATTCTTCGATGAGTTTTAACTTCAGATTTATATCGGTGAAGACGAAAAAAAATATTTCATTCAAGTTTCGGAATGTCGCGCGCGCGATAACTTGTTTTGTATGCTTCTTTTTCTCTGTGTGTTTGTCTCTTTCTATTCTCATCATATAATCACTGTGTGATATGAAATGACCAAGCGAACTCGATACCTAACCAATCGTTTTGAGTACTTGGTACAAACTGAATGTTCCACTAAATCGGCTATGGTGCGGTAGCCTTCTCCGCTCTATACCTCATTCGATTCGTTGTCAGTTGTCTTGTTTTTGTTTCGCGTGTTAGCCGATAAAACATGAGTGAAAATCTCACATGCTGCGTGTATGTGTCACGCACAACTCGTCTCATCCGAAAGGAAATTCCACTCGAACTATGGATGAGACGAGTTCAACGTCTTTGCTCCGTTCTCCCTTCGTTATATGTGCGCGCCAGCGCTGCTCAAATTTCACTCAATGGAAGCAACGTAACTCGAGTTCGACTCATTCACATTTTCTCCTGATTGTGACAAATATCTTATTGGAATGCTACGTCTGAGTCATTTTGTACACACTGCTTTGGCATTTTATTAATAAAATACACCGTGTCTGACTTACAAAATCCCAGACATCTCATATATCGGAATTCATTCGAATTGAAAATCGAATTGGTTTTTGTGACAAATGTGCGCTTCCAGTGAAATGCGGGGAAATTGAGAGCAAAATGTTTCGAGTAAAACCGATGAAACCAAAACAGAAAACGTTGGATGAAAAGGCATATGTTGCATTTGATTCTTTTGCTATATGGATAAATGAAACGTACGATAGATTTGACGAATTTAAATTATTTTTATTTTCTTTGGTTTCCAGTCAATTGGAATTAATATTTAATGAAAACGACATTTGAACGGAAGAAATGTGACTCCTTGCACGTATGCATACATCAAAGAATCCTCAGAGTTATTGGCACACAAGGTAAATGAATGTGATTTTTACACTTCGATTAAGATACTTCGATTTGGCTAAAGAAATTCGGTTTCTTCAAATCGGAAAACCAATTCAGGTGTAACGATACAAGCACGAAAGTTTATTGCTCATTCCAAAAGTTGACAACATGGTACCAAACCGTAATTAAATCTACCATCACCGTTGCATCTGCCGACACTTTTGTGTTCTATCATGTGCGTTATTACGACTCTTTTTTTCGCCGATTTTTCATGATTTGTTTTCAGTATTTTTTTTCGTTTTCTACCGTAAAATTGTACCAAGAACACGGTAATTTATCTTCCTTTTTTCCATCTTATGAACCTCATTACCGTTCAACGTAGGAGAGAGAAAACTCTACTCGTTTCAAAAGTAATCGAAAACGTAAATATTATTGCTTGTTCAACACCACCCTCACCTCACGATAGATAATTTTACGAGCGCACAGAAATTAAATTTCATTATTTATCAATTTCAAATACGGTGAGAAAATATTCTCACATCCCAGAACTGAATAAAACTTGAGAACGCAATGAAAACAATCGCTCACAAGAGAAGTTCAATCACTTTACGTTTGAAATTCGATATTTTATTTTGTGATTTAGTTTCCGTTTCGATTTTGTTTGACTGACACTGATATCTCGTTTGCCGGTCGGTACTCGGTATTCGAAGTTTGAACGCGATTTGATCGTGTTGTTACTACAAATTTTTTATTGCTTTTTCCGTTGTTACGATATATGAAAATAATGGCCCATTAAATGTGTATTTGTTTTTGAATATATCACGGATACACCTCTTTTTCCAAATGGCATTCGTCTTTGTGAGGTTAAGAAATCATGTGGAATGAAGCGTGTGTGTCGAACGTCGTCATCGTATCGTAATCGCATTCGACGGCTGTGTCGATTGTACAGTGGCAAAGGCGTTCACATTCGTACGAAGTCTCGAAGGGCCTTAAATACCGAGTCATGGCTCAAACGATTTTTCCGATCAATTAAAATTAGTATTTTATGACACCGTTGAGAATATCATTTGAGGTCATAAAAGTTAACATTTATAGTTGTAAAATTGATCGATTTAATACGCACAATATAATTCAGCATATACTATAATATTCAAATGAAGTGTAGATAGAACGCCACGTATTGTATGCGAATGCCTGTGTGCATGTGGAAGAGCATAGAGGGAAAGCGAATTTTATGAGTGCCGTTTAGTTGTGGGCTACCGATTTTATCGCGAAACATTTATTGAACCGCGACCGAACATTTTAATTATAGTTTAAGAAGTTTTGCCACAGATTTTCTATTTTTTCCCAACCAAATATTTTCAAGTCACACGCATTGTGTTCAACTGCACTGGATTTTGAGGTTGAACATTGCTTGAGTTTATGAGGTTTTTTGTTTGGTTTAATTTTATTACTTTGATGACACAAGCACACACACGCCCCAAGTCAGCATGTAAAAATATATTAAAACTGACTTTATAACTATTCCCATGCGGTGCATATTTGTGTGTTACATTAATCGATGGGGATGCGTCAATCTAGATTAACCTGACTATTTTCTAGTTTGAAACGGAAGAACAGAAATCATGTTTGAAAAACGGACACAGAAAGATATACAACTAAATCAATTTAACTAAAGTGAACGGGGACAGCACAACACTATTCAGAAAACGAAAACACAACAAAAAAAACTTCGACGGGCTGCTTGGAAAAGTGCAAACACAACTAAAAAGCCATTACAGTATAAAATGAACAACTGTCATCACGTCCTATGAATATTCTCGCATTCGTAGACAAATAATTTTGCCGAAAGTCGAAAGCTATCTCTCTTTATCCCATTGTCGGAGTCATGAATTTTTCGTGTCTTTTTTTTTGATGGAAAAACTTTTACCTGAATCTCGAGTACACCGCCACCGACCGACACGACACACATACACCCATGAATGAATAACAAAAAAAGTGTCACACGAAAAGCCCGTAGAGTGCAAAGCAAGAGTTTGCAATTAGATGTGTTTGCGTTTTAACTAAATTTCATTTGGTCAGAAAACTTCAAAAACTAAACCAGAACATTCTGTCTGCAGTTGTGAATTGTGGTTTAGATGGCAAAATGTTGGTAGTTAACTAAACCTTTTTTTTGCTCTTCTAGACACGTGGCCGGTTGTCACACATTTATCTCTATCGTCGGTTTTTTGCGATGTTCCTTTTGTTCGTGTTGCAAATCCAAACTGAAAATTAGCCATCGCCACATACATACATTCAGATACATACACACACAAAAATCAAAGTTTTCCTATTTGACTTTTGCATGTGGAATAGGAACAAGTGTTAGAAATGGCCACCATACACGATAGATGAAAATTCACACAATCCGATGGGAACAGATTCTCCGAATGAAAATGATAACGAAGTTGAAAAGACACAGTATTGTATGTGTGGACAAAATTTTTCGCATATTGGCTGAAAATGTCTGTTGATCGTGACCACACTGTGCGTTACAACAACCTTAGAGAGAGGGGTAGGTGGTTTAACATTCAATTTTTCAAAAACTTCAATAAATACAACGTAAATTGTTGGAGTGCATTTTTGCACATTATAATTCATTTGTCTGTCGGTCTGGCGAGAATGGAAAATGTTGATGCGTGTATGTGTGTACGTGAATTGTTGTTGAATTTTGCATCATGCTTGAGTTGCGATACATTCATTTTTCATAGCGCACCAACAATGGACCGGATGCAAAAGCATCAACTGACGAATAGAACGAGAGAGATGGAAATTGTTAGCAAACGAGAAAGAGCAAGTGTATATAATGTTGTATACATTGAATCTCTCTCGCTTCCTCTCTCTCTGTTGTTTTTCGTTTGCTGCCATTGCCGTTGTACCATATCCACGTGTGTGCACGTATTGAAATTCTAATGATTGAGATATTTAATGCATGCAGGCAATTTTCAGGATTTTGCCATTTTTGCTTTGTTTGCGAAAAACGTAAAATATATGTAATTAAATTTGGTCGAAAAGTTATAGTTTTATAGTTTCAATATTCACTGGAACAACTAAAGCGTCGGAGAGTGGGTGAGCTTTTTTTTGCCAAATGGAACGCACATTGTTGGCTTACATTGAGGGGATGCATTCTCACAGATGCCATGAAACACAACAAAATAAATCTATACATTGATGCTTATGCATGAAAATGATGATGCCATACAAAAATGATGTATAAAATGGAAAATGAAATTAAATTAAACTACATGAGTGTTTTGCGACACACACACACAATGTCGCCCAAAATATATTTTACCCTGAATATGTTATGCTACCCTGTGTGTGATCGCAATGCTACTTTTGTGTACTGAGTTTTTGTATTTTGGGATAATGAAAATTGTATTGGGCCAATATAACAAAAAGTCGAAGTTCGTCAGAGTAACAGAAGCAAAAGCAAAAGATTGAGTTGAGAGTGGATTGAGGAAATGTTTAAAAAAAAAGAGAAGTGAAAGAGCAGAAAGGAAAAAAAAATAACTCCAAATGGAATAGTCAAATGCTTTTTGACATTAACGGCCATCAAAAATGAAAAATTCGTTTTTATTAGATTGAGTGTAAAACACCGTATGCGTGATGGTTACTTAATGCGTTTCATACGCATAAAGTGCCTCCGAGATAGCGAGACTTGTAATATGCTTTGCCGTGTGTTGCTGAATCGTGTCTATTAGCACTGAGTATGTTTGGGCCACACGAAAAAAGGTGTGCGTGTGTCTGTCCATAGGGATTTAACGGAAATTTTCGTAAATTTGCTCTACAGCTCTACCTCTTTTATATATATGACAACTTACATGTCGTGGTGAAATGAAAATGAAGTAGAAAAATGAATTAATCGTTCGTTTGAAATAGGATTCCTGTATTATAATAGTGTAGTAGCTCAAATGGCCTCTGAAACACAAATACAGAATATAATTTTATGAATATTAATTAGGAGCAATGGATTTAAAAAAGTGAAATATTTTCTACGCCTTTTATCCGAAACCGAGTATGACAAACGCCGTTGAATCGGTTGTACATTTAGAGATATGGCAGTAACACATGAACAAAAGATAAAACGAGAAAAAGACAACTGGCCAAAAACTAAATACAATCGACGAAATATTTACTGACCAGTGATAACTGTGTGAATTTGCGTACGAAAATGCCCAACCCAAAAAATGTTTTTCTGCTTTTTAAGGG